ATTTCCTTCCCACCAGGTCGGAACAGCTTAGAGGACATAGCAGGAGAGTTAAAAAGCCAAAGATGAACTATATCGCCCTGGAGTGTTGGTCCTCACACCAAGTCATAAAATCCTGGAACCGACCTCCAGAAGAAGCGGTGTCAGTGCCCTCAGTTGACTCATTCAAAAAGGGTTTGGACAAGCACAGAAATTTTACTGGAAAAGGATCAACACAGGCTACAAGCCTTCTATCCTCAATCAATAAATCAGAATCTGAAACCAGAAAGTCCACTGCAGCCTGCTGGAAATGCTTCGTGTCAGGCGCTCATGAGGTCTCTGAAACATATAGAAGCAGCGACTGATATCACATCAGTGATGAATATAAGCATCTTGTTTCTTATGTTGAGGGTAGACCCAGAATGAATATATATATATATATGCATATGATCATTTAGCCCATCTGACTTACTTTTGAAAGTATATTTATTGATTAATTTTCCTTACATTGACTTATGCGTTAATATATTAGTTCGTACGTGACAGAATTTATGCTTACATTAGTTTAGGTGAGCAGCACTTTGCACTTATTTATTTATGTACTTTGTTACTTATGATTATATATAAATATATGTGTATGTATCCAAATATCACAACATTATGGATCCTCATTGAACAGAGCTTGGAATGGCAGTCACCTCTCTACCTCAACTTAATCGACTCTGGAAAGGCCTTCAGCAGTGTCGATTGAGAGGTGATTTGGAAAAAATTTCTTCGCTACTACGAGGTGCCACCAACAATTATGCACCTCATCCAATAGTTGTACGATAGATAATGCTGCATGCCAAGTAATCCACACCACGAAAGTCATGGAATCCTTCGAAGTGAAAACGGGAGTAAGACAAGCTGACTGCCTACTATCTCCAATGATTTTTCTGATTACGGGTGGTAGTCTGGATAATGCAACAGACACACAGTGAGCAGTGAGGGTACAGACATAAAATACTCACACAAAAACTTGAAGGATATGGACTTCTCGGGCGATATATATGTCTGATTTCCCACAAACTGGAAGATATGCAAGTGAAAAGCAACAAGTTGGCAGAAGAAGCATCCAGAGATGACAGGGCTTCAGGTGAACATAGAGGAAAAAGAGGTAGGTGATAAAGATTCCTGGCCAACAGCAACAGCAACAATAACGGAAAACAATCAGCATAAATGGGATCCTTCACCTACCAACCTGGGAAGCATCTTTTCAAATACAGGTGGACGGAACTAATGAGGATATCAAAGTGAGGATCCGGAAAGCAAAGCAAGCTTTCATTTCTCTCAAGTCTGTGTGGAGGTCAACACTTAACACTCAGCATGAAAAATAACATCCGGATTTTCAACTCCAATGTGAAGTCAGTGCTACTTACTATACGAATCAAAGACTTGGCGCCGCGTCAGGAAGGGCACTTCGAACAATATACAGACCTTCATCAATAGCTAGCTGTCTTCGCTCAATACTGAAGATCAGGTTTTCAGCCAGAGAAGATCAGCAACAGAAATCTCTGGCAATGAGCTAACCAACCCATCAGGAACGAATTGTGGAAGAAATATGCAGGAAGAAATGGAGGTGGATTGGCCATCAAGTGAGTGACATCACACGCCAGGTTATCGCTCGAATGGAACCCGAATAGGCAGCGGAGAGTTGGTCGTCAATGCGAGGGTAACATAGAGGATTTCATGCAAGGAGGAGATGAAAGCATTTGGGCGGAGGTGGAGCCATGTGAAGACGGTGGCAGAGAACCGAACGCAGGAGAGATGTGAGGCTGAAGCCCTATTTTCCTCTAGAAATTAGAGGAGACAATAGTGATAGTACAGACCTAGAGAGTGATAGACAGACTGGACTGTTCCATAACTTTATTCACAAACAATTTCGGAAATGATTTAAACTAATTGTTTGTTAGCAGCTTTCACTGCAAGCAGCTGGCGTACTGCTCAGTGGTTTCCATTTTCTAATAGAATATATTCAACCACTGGGACGGAATTCAGCAGTTCACCAATTCTAATCTCTGCCAACTGGCGATATAACACGACCACCGGCCAATGTCATCAGCGAGTATTTTTCCTCCAGCACGACTTAATGGACCTCCTTCTTGTAGGAGATCGTGAACAGCGGGGTCCACCAATTTGTATATGAGGAGAAATACTCGCCGATGACATTGGCTGGTGGTTGAGCTATGTGTTGCAAATTGACAGAAATTACAAGTGATAGGCTTTCAACGGCTATATGACAGTGCCACATGTCAGGTGATCCACAACAGAAAACTCAGCGAAGTGCGTAGAGGAGTAAGACGAGGCTGCCTGTCTATTACCGATGATACTCTTCATTTCAGTGGACTGGATTATGTGTCGAACTGTGTGTGGGGAGTGAGAAGACAGAAATACGTTGAATCGATTAGAAGACTCTAGAAGATTTGGATTTTGCACGTGGATGATATATGTCTAATGTTACACAAACTCGAAGACTTGCAGGCAGGCGAAAACCAACAAACTGGCAGAACAGGCTAGCAATGCAAACAGGACTCCAGATGAACATGGAGGGGATGGAAGTGGTGAAGGACAACAACCAACAGCGACAACAACTATCACCAAGCATCACCAATGGAAGATATTTGACAGAGGTTACTCTGTTCATGTGCCCTAGGCCCTCGAGTGGAACTCCAATGGGAAGCTACTAGTGGGTTGTCAGTGCGAGGACGAAAAGAAGAAGATCGTGCCAGGAGGAGATTAGAAATTATGGTCAAGGACAGAGGACAGAAATTATGGATAGGGGACAGCAGAAAATTGGTGAAAGTGTATATGTGTTATTGAAGTGTATGTTCCACTCTGAATACAAGGGAATAATAATAATATATAATAGAAGTGATAGGCGATTGGATTCAATCACAGTAACCGAACTGCTCACGGGCTCTCGTTTTGACATGAAGGTCCTAGATCTGATCTTTGCTGGGGTCATGGATGAGTACTACTGAAGAGCCCTAAACAAAGGCTAAGCAGTTGTCCAGTGCTCCATGGTCGTCACTGGTTCTCTTATTAAAAACATTTCATGATCAGTCTTGGAGTCCGTCAAAAACCCTGCAAACCAGTAACTGAAAATCTGTAAGACCTAATTGGCGACGGATGTAACCACAAATATATTAGATTTTCGATGCTAAGTGTCTTCGTAGCCTTAACGATGTAGAGCAGTTCAGATATTGAGTAATGCTACGATTGCACATTCAGTGATAAGTAAGGAAGGTACTTCAAATCGAGGAAGATGTGCGAAATGTATCCAGTGAGGAGATTGGGATATGTTCATTGTCTATAAAGCTAAGTGCAAGCCTCGGGATACTGAGAATCTACCTTTATTATTATTATATTATTGTTCCCTTGGGTTCCTAGTGGAACATAGGGCTTCAACTACACGTCTCCACTTGCTTCTGTCTTCTGCTGTACTTTTCGCTTGCATCCATGTTAGTCCATACCGTTTCAACTCCTCCTCACACGATCTCCTCCATGTCACCCTTCGACGTCCCACTCGTTGTTTCCCCTTTGGGTTCTACTCGAGGGCCTGAAGCGCGATGTCACCCAGCGGCCTCCTCAGCGAGTGTCCAATCCATCGCCAATTTCTCCTGCATATTTGTTGAGCGATTGGTTCTTGTTTTGTTTGCTCTCATAGTTTCTTGTTTGTGATTCTTTCCGGCCGGCCATCTGATCTTGAGTATAGAGCGAAGACAGTTGTTGATAAAGGTCTGCAACAGGCTGTTGCAAATATTCTTTGTGACCCGCCGCCAAGTTTCTGATCCGTATAGAAGAACTGACTGACTTGACGTTTGTATTGAAAATCCGAATCATTTTGTTGTTGATGCTAAGTTGAGTGACGAAGATTTCCAGATTGGTTTCAGGTTGATGAATGTGTTTCTCGCCTTCCCGATTCTCGATTTGACATCCTCGTCCGTTCCAACTGCCTGTAGTTGAGACAATGCTCCCTAGATAAGTGAATGAAGTAACCTCTTTCAAATCCCTCCCGTTGATGGTGATTGGCGCCTGATGTTGCTGCTGTTGTTTTTGTCGTCACTGGTTGGTTATTTTCATAACCTCCGTCGTGTCTATGTTCACCTGGTGTCCTGTCTTCTCTGGCTGCTTCTTCGACCAGTTTCCCGGTTTTCGCTTGTAAGTCTTCGATTTTGTGTGACATCAAGCATAAATCATCCACGCGCGAAATCCAGGTCTTCTAGGTTCTTCACGTCGGTCCAGGATATCCCTGTCTTCTCGTTTCCCACTGTCTGATGCATAATCCAGTCCACCACAATTAGGAATATCATTGATGATAATAAGCACCCTTGTCTGACTCCTGTGTTTACTCCAAACGCTTCGCTGAGTTTTCCGTTGTGGATCACTTGACATGTGCCGTTGTCGTACAGGTGTTGAGAATCTAACTTTAAGGCCTATTTATTTAAGGCAAACTATATTCCTCATTCATTGCTTATATTACACCAAAATACTCGGTCTCTTCTGACATGTCAGCTGCTAGTAACCATCATACGGAGTCGAAGAGTCCCTCCAAGGAGCTGACATATCCACAGAGCTACGCATTAAACCTCTACCGAGATAGGTTTCACCTTTTCTGATACTGGTTTGAAAGACCTATACACAGTATCAGTGGAACTGACATGACCTTATAATTTCTATACCCGTATCGTTCAGAGCCTAAGTCTTGGGGTTTTTACTGCTAAGATATTTGCGTTGCAACTTACTTCCTGTACAATTGCGTCAGATATAATAGCTGTTTAGTCAATGTTTCGTCTAGTTAGATCTCTTCAGCAGTGAGATTTATCAGTTCTGCTATTTACAATGAATAATTTTTTCTCATAACCCTACAACTTAATCGTATTCTTTATTCACTTGACATTTTTCACTTCTCTATCAAGGTATATATATATTTTTGATGAGGTACACAATGGTGTAATAATATTCACCAATTTCAACAAACACTGATGAATATTGAAAATCATTCTTCCCTCAAATGTCAAATACTGTTTTATTTTCAACTTATAAATTTACTGCTTATCATAACATCTTCAAAATCATATTATGTTCATTACAATTTAAACGACAATATGAGCGATATGTGGCGCACGAATTTGAAATCCACCATTATTGATTATTTACCATTGAATATTGAACAATTCACTAGTCTTACAGGCTATACACCAACACTAAGGTCTGAAATGGTAACATAATTAAATATTTCTCTCATAATTATTTGCATTTATAAGTATATCTCACCAATTCAAATGTATCATGTGTATTTTGAAGAAGATGATGAACCAATTCATTTGTTATGTTGGAATAATATGAGACAAGATTCAATGTTCACTGACAGTTTAAATTCAATGAATGCATTAAATTATCATGGTGTTTGGTATGTTTCAAAAGGTTCTGTAAATGAGTTAAAGTAAGTGCCTCATGTGGTGAATGTTTTAATAGCCTTGGTAGGTATTTATATTTCAGAATGTAAAGGTTATTTTAGATTTTTGGCTTTCAATTCGGCTTGGGTGTTATCTTTAGTGCTTTCTCTCTCTCTCTCTCTCTCTCTCTCTCCAAGAAGTGAATTTGATGAGAATTTGTGGGAAATTTCATTTGAGTTAGATGGTATGTTCTATTTTCATCGATTAACCTGCTGTTAAGTTCGGCCCTCTTCGACTTTTGGTCGTCGTAACGAATACACTGGTGTTATCAAATTATTGTTGTCTTAGGCGTGCAAACGATTTTAACTGTTATTGTTCCTGCTGTTTGGTGGATGTCTCCCTGAGATTTCTATGTAAACTCTTTAACTCCGTATTAGATTTCATCATAAGCCGTCGTCAGTTAGAGAACTACTGAAAAATATTCAGCAGGGAATAGTCCCGTGAATCTCCTGGAAAGCGAGCACATTATCAGACGGCCATTGTTCTAGCAATCAGTGTTCCATGAATCCAAACGTCAGTCAGTGTCTAGTAGACCACGAATCTCATTTCACTAGCTGGACAGTAAGCTGTTGCTCTGGTGATCCGCTGGTGCTCGACTCGACAGCCATTGAGGTCGTTGGTGCATACCACTGAGGAGTCCCGCACAGGAAGAAACAGCACCACTTATTTCTCTGTGGTACTCTAAATGATGCCGGTTCGTGTTGGGATCTAACTTGATGTCAATCAAATTTCTATAAGGCAGAACTTGAACTGATTTAATTTCTCTTGTTAAAGTTAATAAATTGATTGTCGCTTGACTCATCTTGTATAAAATCAACGAGAAAACCCCATGAATGTAAACTAAGGATAGGCAAATATCAAAAGGGCTATTAAACGTCAAAGAAGTCTAGCTGAGGGCAGCATAGTGGTTAAGATGAATTCAAATAACTATTCTATTCATTTCTTTGGGTACCGAGTGATATGCAGGGCTTCAAGCTTAAGCTGTAAAGTTATAGTAGCAGTTGTATTTCTTTTATGGTATAGGGTCACTAGCTCTACGCCCAGCCTTCTGTCATTACTGGGATTACTACCGGTTAACTGACGTCTAGCAGTGGGTCGGCCGGGAATCGAACCCGGATGGTGTGCGTGCCTAGAGGACATTCTTCCACTTCACCAATGACGTAAACTAATTATGAGTAGATATATATTCCCTGTCTACAAGAAGTGACTGAAATATAACATCCCAAAACCAAACTATATAGTGAACGGATTAATGACCTTGAGCAACTAGTTAGATGATTCCGTAGTATATAGGCGGAATTATGTGTGCTATGGACGAATTATATACCTAATTCCACCCAAATCTAGTATTTAAATACTGCTTAGACTGCAGGCTCATTGAAAGGGAGGGGAAAACGTGTAGCCAATAATTAATAACGGAACTCAAGGCCAATTTATTTTTAGAAGCTAGCAACAATATATTACACAATCAGTAAATTGTAGGATAACGATAACGGGGAAGAATTGAGAGATGAGTTATGTAGTCAGCTAGAATAGTAATCATAATAAAAAAACATTAAAATATCAAATGATAGTTAAAAGGATTCCTGAATAATCCCCATCCAGACAGTGATGAAAACAAAACACGGAGTTCAGCGAAAAGTCTCTTTCCCGTGGCGAATTCATTCATTTAGCTGTACAATTGCAATTATATATATATACCTATTTTTGTAAATGTGTGTGTACACTAGGTTTGTCCGATAAGAATGAAAATAAGTTAGGGTTATTATTATCAAAGCATTTCAAAAATGTGATGAGTAATCAAACTGTAACTATTACTGGGTGGGGGTGAAGATTGGTAAGAGTCAGAATTCCTACATAATTCAATATCTTCCTTTGTTTCTGTGTGTAAAGTGATCACAACTCACTCATTAGACTATTCATCTTATTACATAGCTGCATTACGCTTACTCAACCTCTTTTATGTGTTTATTAACATTAATAACTATGTTTTTTGACAAAGCATCACCACTACCCGCTTACCAATCTTCAACCCACCGCATCCTAGTTACACTTTGATTACTCATCACACTTTTGAGATGTCTTGACAACAATAAACCTAACTGATTTTTATTCTTATCGGTTAAACCTAGTGTAAGCACATATATACAAGAATGAGTATATGCATTTGCGATTGTACAGCTAGCTAAGTGAATGAATTCGCCACAGAAAAAAGACTCTTCACTGAACTACGTGTTTCGTCATACAGATAGGCGTGAAAATCAATTTGCAGGACTCTACTTATATTTAATACAACAGTTCATGTTTTTATTTCACCACCTTTCAATCTAAAAATGAGTGAAAAAAATATTCAACACACTCCAAAATTATTTCAACTCAAAAGGTGTGCGTGTAGGACAACAAATTCAAATGAAAGATATTCAGCACAAACTTCAGACAGTGTTTTAGGCGAGTAACTGTCCTCTAAACTGACTTGGAGGATCCTGCTAGTTACGACTTCCTACCAGAACTACCAGCTAACTTCAAATATACAGCCAGTTGCTAATGAGCATCAGATTGCATTCTAAGTGTTGGCTTGCAAGAAATTGGTTGGTTAAAATATTGACATAACTTGGAGAACCGTTAGAAAAGAATGGACTATTTCACCGGACCCTAGTGGCTGAGTGATTTACGAGCTGACCTTGTAACAGGAAGGTCATGGGTTCGAAGCCCGGTGGTTACGTACTCCTTAGGAGTTCCATACTAGGGCCGAAAACAGTTATCCAGTACTCCTTTCTGGTTTTAATAATAATAATAGCTTTATTCCAAACAGTATTTGTGGTACAGGTATGGAATTTTCAGCGTGCATTACAATATTGCATCTAATTACCTCATAAATTTTATAAGATTTTAAAAATAAAAAGCAACAACAACAAAAAGAAAAAAGATAAATAAAAGAAATAAAAAAAGAACAGCATTGCATTCACATATTTAAACAATGCACCACAGGATATGAAATATAAAATTAGTGTGTAATAGAATATGTGAGCAACAATATAATAGTAACAAAGAAAGGAGAACAAAAACTAATGGGAACTATTTGTTAGAGTGCCGCAGTAAGTTGATCGTGTCATACCTAATGGATTTCTCATCACATAACAGCTGTGCCAGATAAGGTATTGTGGAGTTTTGTACTTGGTAGTCCTAGCATATAGCCTCCTATAGCTGCTTCTAGTTCTACCAGATGAAATGCAAGGAGAGAGCTGCGTATAGAGAGGATGCTCAGGGTCTGACAATATAGTATTCGCTAGTTTCTTACATGACATTATATGTCTATCCACAATGGTGTTAACCAGTTGGTTTAACGAAATCCCACTTGCCCTACTAACAGCTTTTAGTGCCCTACGCAGCAAAGCAAAATCTTTCTTAAGTAGTCCAGGAAAGATTAATGGGGAGCAGTAAAGAGGGATGGTTAGAATACAAGAGTTGACAAACTGAGAAAGCAAAGACTGCTTTATACCAGACTGCCTTAACTTCCTGCCTTCCTTTGCAATGGTTCTCCATCTGATGTCAGCTTGTAATCAAACCTGTAACCCAATCAAAATCCCTACAAACGAACACTTAAAGGAAAGATATTCGGCAGTCTGAAAACTAGAGTTTATTTGTGCATAGTGTAGTGGAACGTTCCAGAGGAGAGGATGGGAATAAGATTAAAAAAAAGTAAGTAGAAGTCAGTTGGAAGACTCCACTACTATATCTTTTGAATTTTCAATTAATTTTGTAGCATGTTGTATATTTTTGCATTTTTAATAACTTTTATCATTTTTAAGCTGTTAGCAGTTGGTGAAAACCTATGAGGTGGAAACAGAAGCTGTTTTCATTCTGTAAATACGTTCTTTCTCTCTTTGTTCACTCTATTCATGTTATGTGGACAGTGCCGTGCATAAATTTTTTTTCAACACACAGATTTGACTTGTTCAGACTTGTTCGCCTGTGATGCATGTAGTAGCCTAACTCATAAAGCATTAGAAAAGGTTGATGAAATACGGTGAATAACTTTAAAAGCTTTGCTAGTGTCAACCTGATGTCAACCTGTTTCGACAATGTGAATTAGTATTGAGCTGCTTTATTCAGTCCTTTGCCTAACCGATATATATATATTTTATGGAAAAGATAACTTTTTATCATATAGATAGATATACTACTTATATATTTAAATAGGTCTATTTCATTCCAATCATTTCTTGGTTTTTCTCTTTGTAATTTATAGATTGGCCAGAGATGAAGGTTATGAAATATTAAATGGAATGCTTAGAGTCTATCCAGATGAAGCATATATACGAAAGGTCAGAGGCTGTTCAAGTTTTTCTCAGTCGCATGTTAACTGCTGTTTCTGTTGGACCGAAGTGCTCGATCTCTATTAAACTTTCTCGCTTCTTAGTGCAGAGGCTTCCTTTGATCGATATCTGCATACGGACGTGATATTACGTAATTGTTTAAGCTAGTTTGGTTTCCTCTGGCTCGTTGATGACTGATTGTATGGCCTTTCGTTGATATGCGGCACCTCTTACTACTGGGAATTACAGGTACATACAGATGATGAAGCTCAAGTAGGAAGAAATGCGCATTTTAGATTTCAGTGTTAGTCATCATCCTACAAAATGACATCACGATGTTATTTAGCTGACAATGTCTAAAAGTTTGATCTAGGATGTGTATTTTTCCGATTTGTTATAGTATAATAACCTTATGAACTCCGCTACAAGGGTAAGTAGGAAAGCTGTACAATAAAGATCATATAAAACAGAGACTTTTTCAGCCCACCCCATCCCCCAATCTTGACTACATATTTCTTGCTGTAACCATGAATTAAGAAAAAAGTATTATACTCCACCCTTGAAAGATACAGTATATATTGATTACCATTTTACTGTTTCCGACTGATTAGTTGACTAAAAAAGCACTGGTTTCAACGTAGAACATCGCACAGATGCTCAGCAGTTTGATTTGCCACACTTCCTCCATAAAGTAAGAGAAGAGAGTAAGGAGAGATTCAAAAAAGAGACATAATAAACAGAAGTGTGAGTGAGTGAAAAGCAGTAGTGATATTGACGAACAATAGAGCTTTTTGGATATGATAAACGAGAACGATTTTGAGCCATATCATCAATTGTCTCAAGTATTCATTCATTCTTACCATCCCGAAGACACTAACTACGTAGATAGGAATTCTACACCTCCCTATGTGGCTGGTTGGCTGGCTTAAACTAACTGTTGTGGATTTTACTGACTGATGAAGCCATTGTCCTTGTTTGACCAATATGTGCTGACTCTTTTCCAAACTGATCGATTCTGTGTCAGTCAGTTAACATTGCCCATCGATGGAGGTAATCGATAGCTAGGCATGCAAGCGGAACACATGTCCTAATCATATCAATCGATGTAACTTCACAGCCTCGTCTATTGATATCCCCCCTACTTTGACTAGCACTCGACCGATGCCTAATCTGAATATTGCTCACCTAATTATATCACTTAACACGAGAGATAGAATGCAGATACCTATGATCAAAGACAGCTAGCTGGTCTTTTCATGTCTTCCACTTTCAATGGCCATATCTAACGGGCTATAAAGGAGGACGGAGCGGGCTGCTGAGCAGTACACACGTCCTTTGGTTAACATCCAGCCGGATATCACGTCTACTAAACCAGAGTTGGCGTAAGTCGGCGAGCATATGCCAAACGAGCCTTCTGTATCTGGGGTGAGATTTCGTCAGCGATCAACCAGCTGTCGTCGGCTGATGCAAATTCCCAAAATGAGTGAAGTGGTCAACATGCTCTACCACTTCACTGCTGCCTATCTCCAAGCTAGGAGTTGATGTAGTCCAGTCCAGTCCTGGAGCATCATCTTGCATTTGACAGCAGCAGAGAATTGCATGCCAAACATTCGATGATTGCTGCTCCCTAAGGTGTTCATAAGACTCTGCATTTCGTTAGATGAAAAAATAGGAAATATGAAATTGATTGAGTTAAAATTCTTAAAATTAATTCAGTCTACTGAAGGTAGTTTGTCTACATACCGCCATCTGAAGGACAATTTCAGCCCTTCTGAAGATTCACTGCCTTGGTGCTTTAAATAGAAATAGACGTCGTAATCACTCTTGACTATTCACCTGTGAAGGTGAGTGCAGAGGCAGTTGCATTCTCTAGTGAACAGAACACATTGTCCTTTCTGCATAACTTTATTCTCTGAGTTCAACAAAACAGCTTTGGACTTTGAAGTCGTAGTTGCGCTATTGTTGTTTTACCTTAAAGGGGTGAAGTTGACAGTCTGATGCCCAATCTTCCATCTTTTCCAGGGTTTGTGTATAGGCTGGAAAAAATCCTACCAATGAATGACCGACTCCTAGTATCAAATAGAAGTACATACTACACAGATTAGATTGGTGATTACCTCAAAAATAAATCTGCTTATTTTCCACTTGAATCTTCTAGATCAAACCTTTCCACCGTATGATTCTCTTTGAGAATTAATAAACAACTGGATCGCAGTCTATTTTTGCTACCGTAAAGGGTGTAAACATAAGTTTTAATTTCTAGACTAATCAGTCAGTGAAGACAATGAAACCTCAATAGATTACCTTCACTTCCATTGTCTTGTTGACTTGCTGTAGCAACTCATCCTCGTATCACTAGAAACCTCATCCAGGCAACTGTATCGATGATGTCCATCTTCACGCATATTCAGTCATAGAATGTTATTCCATTTTAGTAAAAGAAAAGCAAAGAAAGACATTCTTAATCTGCATAGATGCAATAACAAAAACAAGACATTCACTGATTTCATTCTAAATCTATATAAATGAATCGGTGCGTTTGTGGTTTCAGCGGTAGACTCTTCGTCGCTCAAGCGCTTAGTCCGAGCTCGAATCCCGGTCGATGCACTCTTAAACCTCACCAGGTAAGGAGGTAAGGTTTAACGTGTGGCTGTCAACTTCAGCCCGCCCCCAGCCAACTTCCACCTTGAAAGCAGCACCACAACTACTGAAACTTCAAGACTCAAGCATGAAGTCCGGTGTTCCACTCGAAATGAGAAGAAATGAAAAAAGCCACATTTTTATATAATACATTATGAGAAGATTTAATTTAGTTACAGGATTTCATCATGAGTTGACATTGGTTAGAGAACCATTGGAAAACCTACTGGGAGCACTGGACAGCTGTTTCGTTCCAGTTTTGGACTCTTCAGCAGTACGCAAACACACCAAGGGGTTCGAACCCAGGACCTTCTGGTTACAAGCCTAGCGAGCTCGTAGACTATTAAGCCACTGGGACCCGATCCAATGGCCAATCCATGAATTCTAACTTCTGCCAATTCACGACATAGCGCGACCCCTAGCCAATGTCTTCGGCGAGTATTTGTTCTCACACCCGACCTGCCACATCCTACTGGTCACGACTTCCCACTAGAACCCCAGGTAACTACCTACCTGAATAGGACCAGTCGCCAGTGAGCATCTCATTGATACTCAAGTATTGGTTTGTAGGGATTTGGTTGAATGGTTACAGGAATTCATCATTAGCTGACATTGGTTAGAGAACCATTGGAAAGCTAGGGAGTACTGGACAACTGTTTCGTCCCAGTTTGGGACTCTTCATCAGTACGCACCCACCGGGGTGTAATTTGTCTGAATCTTGTATGTACTGTATTTGCGCGACACATTTCCAACAATGTGATCACATACGAACTTGTCATAAGAACAAATATATGAAAATAATAAAGAGTTAAGGTGTGAGAAAATAAATTCAGGTCAAGTTAAAATGACATACTGAAGGTCAAAATAACACTGGAGATCACTAAATCAAACAAGATATCTATATGTCGTATACTGAAAGTTAATCGGAAGACTTAATTCAAAATGTACGACTTTAGGGAAGGTATGTCGACAACATTTTAATCATAAGTGATAACCTTGTTCTGCCACCTCAATTTTAAATCGAATGAATGAAGTTCAGAATAGCATATCACTTACATTTGTAGAAGAGGAAAATAATTATTTATCTTTTCTAGATATATTGCTTAGTTGAAGGCCTAGTGGATCAATAAAACGACCTTTTTATAGATAACCTATTTGGACAGGACAGTATCTTAATTATCACAGTTTCTGCCCTAACCGGTACAAAACAGCCTTAGTGAGCGAGGTGCCTCTTCAGTAGAATCCAATGAATCTGCACCGAAGACAAACTTGATGAAAAAGAAGGAGATATAAAGTAGTCAGAACACCAAGACCCACTTTCCAACTCGCCCCTAAGAAAGACGTGTACATCAAGCTACCTTATATGGGGGATCATAGCAGTTTGATAACTAGACAAAGATTGAACACTGCTGTTAAGAAGACCTTTTATGCAGCCAAGATCATAATAATTGAGAATGTGAAGCCGATATATCCATTTCAGCTCTTAGAACACGCAAAAATGATATCGCATCCCACTGTATTTACCAACTTGAATGTACGTGTGGACACACATACACACATAGGGAGGATTCATCGATCTCTGCAAGTAAGGGCTGGCTTCAGAGCACACTCCTGAATAGCTGCAGAAACAAATGGAATCCCAAGAACCCATTAATGCTGAAAACAGGCGACCTAGCTCCTCCATTCCGAAGCATATTATAGAGACAGAACATAAAGTTGACGTTAACACATCTTTTAAACCTATCTATAAAACGTGTTCGGGGCGTATCCTAAAGTTTGTGGAAGCCCAAGCTTGCAGTCAGGAAGTTTAAACCACCTTCCTCCCTTCAAAGTAACAATTCGTCATCACACTAAACCACCTTCCTTGGTAAATTTTGCTTTGATACTAGCCAGGGTAGATGTACTATTACCTCTGTTATTTGATTTAATGATCTTCATTGTTATTCTCACCCTCAATATATCCTTTTAACTTGACCTAATTAGTCTATTTTCTCACCTCTTAACTCTTTATTAATTTCATATATATATTCCTGTGACAAGTCCGTGTGTGATTGATCAGATTGTTTGAAATGTGTTGCGCATATGCAACACACACACACGATTTGGACAAATTCCGTCTTCTTATTGCTTTATCTAAATTCATAAAGTAAACTAATTGTTTTAAATAATACCTTGACATAACAAGAAAAAGAATGTTTCAAAAGGTGTGTTACTAGAATTTTATATGTTAGATAACACTCATGATATTCTTTAAAAAAATTACATCATGCATGAAAACTGGTCAGTTAGAGCGAAATTAAGTAAACTGAGTCACGTAAGATAATTGATAGAAGTGAGTAGAGTTCAAGTAAAACTGAAAGAAGGTCAAG